CCTGCTGAGCGGAGTGAGCGTGAGTTAGCACACAGTTTTTTAGCCTCCGGCTCACAAACTTTTGTCTCCGCTCAGGAAGGAGGGCAAACTGATTGATGCAGGAGCCGAATCGCTCGCTGACCACTTTAATGCCAGGAGCTCACAAAGTAGCATTTTTGCTCGCAAGACTCCACAGCTTAGAGGGAGCGTTGGTTGCAGCTTGCCAGATCCATGCAAGGGGGACTCCTGGAGATTTCGAGGGTGGAGCATGAGGAGGGGTGTGGTGTGGGGGCGTAAGGCCATAGAGGCCACTTTCGAAAGCAGCCGTTTTCTCCAGCGGAACTGATCCCCGGCACCTGGGGATCAGTTGTGACGGCTGGAGATCTTCAGCTGTCACCTGGAGGTGGGCAACCCTGTGTCAGGAAGTCCTGGAGGCTTGGGGGTGGAGCCTGGGGAGGACAGGGGTCTCCGTGGGGCACAGCATACATAATTTTTAAAATTTATTTATTTATTTTTGCATTTTTACCCCGCCCTCCCCGCAAGCAGGCTCAGGGCGGCTTACAAGGGGCATAAGCCCATACCTAAAACCAGATAAAACAATACAGTCATGACTAATAACAATAATAAAGTGCTTTCTGTAAACAAGATGGCCTTTGAGTGGTTTTGATGGCATCGGTCACTTCCTTATATCCTTCCCTTGGGGGTGATGCTGTCCAGTAGATAGTCCAAGCCAATCCCACAATGTCAGTGCCATACAATTCATGGCGGAACTTCCAAGGGCGGTTCCTAATTCCGATGTTATCGCCACCATTGGTGTATGATGTATGAAGAGATCTCAGTGGGGCACGATGCCACCCCCCAAAGCCTCTGTTTTCTCCAGGGGAACTGATCTCTGTGGTCTGGAGATAATGAGCTGTAATTCCCAGGGGGATCCCCAGGCCCCACCTGGAGGCTGGCATCCCTGGCAACACACCCCTGGTGCCTGTCCAGCTCCTGAGAGCCAGCCTGGTGCGGTGGGGGGAGGGGAGGACGGAGGGCCCCGGGCGGCTTGGGTTTGGATCCCCACCCACTTCCTCCACCACGGGTGACCTGGGGCCCTTTGCAAGCTCTCAGGCTGGCCTGCCTCACAGGGTTGGTGTGAGAAAATGGAGGAGGGGAAGGACAATAATCTAAGGCGCTTTGAGTCTAGGGATGCCAGCCTCCGGGTGGGGCCTGGGGATCCCCAGGAATTACAGCTCCTCTCCAGACTACAGAGATCAGTTCCCCCTGGAGAAAATGGAGGCTTTGGAGGGGGCTGTGAAAAATAATTTGACAGAAATTCTGAGGATTAGATCCTCCAAAGTACGTATATCTGTGAGCGGGGATGAATATAATAATAAGCTTCCCTTTTGTAAAAAGGGGGGGGGGGATGCATCCTGCACTTTGCTGTTCTTCCCACCCTGCCGTCGTAGCACAAGAAGCCGCATTACAAAAGTACAGGTCACCCACCCGGTTCCCCAAACCTACCTCTGGTTTAAAGATGCTCTTGTCTCTTCTGACACCATCCCTGGCCACGAAAACGGAATAAGAATCCAGAAGGAGGGAAGTGAATACTTATGAGGGGCAGGTAAGCAGGTAAGCGGAGGAACAGGAAATGCCAGAGATCTTTCCAAGCCGCAGAGAGTCACCGAATGCCAGAGCTTTCCTCCAATTGTCACACTGTCCCGTCATCATGAGGACTAGTGAGGTTTTTGTCAAGTGGCAAATGTGGCCTGAACGTTCTTGGATGGCTCATTTCGGTCCAGACGTTTCCACCAGAGAAGGTCTTTTCCAAAGCATTTAGTCCAAAGCCACAAGTCGCACCTGCAGATGACGTCACGGCAGCTCCAGCCTCAGGTCTGTTTACAAGCGGAGGCGTCTCTTGTCAGGATCACGAGGTGCCCTCCAGCGAGGGAGAGCGGTTGGCTGCCTATTAGTCATCCGGTTGGGAATTGCCCTGATTCACGCCCTCTGTGTTTAGGGACACGGTCACACGGCACAATAGTCAACCGGTTTACGTTCCAGTGTGATGGCTCAGGATGGGTAGCCGTGTTTGTCTGTAGTGGCAGAAAAGTGCCAGGGTCCAGTACAACCTTAAAGACTAACCAGATCTGTGGCAGGGTAGGAGCTTAAGGGGGATGCTGCGGTGGCTCAAGTGGTTAAGAACTGCAGTTTGAGACCCGGGTGTGCCGCATGACGGAGTGAGCTCCCGTCTCTGGTCCCAGCTCCTGCCAACCTAGCAGTTCGAAAGCAAGACATTGCAAGTAGATAAATAGGTACCACTTCAGTGGGAAGGTAACATCGTTCCGTGCGCCTCGGCTTCTCGTCATGCCGGCCACATGACCACGGAAACTTCTTCAGACAGCGCTGGCTCTTCGGCTTGGAAACGGAGATGAGCACCGCATCCCTAGAGTCGGATTTGACTGGGTTTTGCGCAAGGGAAACCTTGACCTAGGAGCTTAAGTGAGTCACTCCTCACTCCTTCAGAGCAGTGTCTCACAAAAGCCCCTGCCCTGCCACAAATTTTGTTAGTCTTTAAGGTTCTACTTGGAGCTGCGGTGGCTCAAGTGGTTAAGACGCGTAGGCTGTGGAAGGTCGGTAGTTCAGCAGTTTGAGACCCAAGTGTGCCGCATGACGGAGTGAGCTCCCGTCTCTAGTTCCAGCTCCTGCCAACTTAGCAGTTCGAAAGCAAGAAATAGATAAATAGGTACCGCTTCGGTGGGAAGGTAACAGCGTTCCGTGCGCCTTGGTGTTTAGTCATGCCGGCCACATGACCACAAAAAACGTCTTCGGACAGCGCTGGCTCTTCAGCTTGGAAACGGAGATGAGCGCCGCAACCCTAGAGTCGGACTCGACTGGCTTTCGAGCAAGGGAACCTTTACTTTTAAGGCTCTACTGGACTGTTGTCCTTTTCTACAGCTACCTTCCATTGTATAATCTTGGGGTTTTTTAAAAGGCCTGATTGGTGTCAACTTTGTCTGGTTTTACTTTCACGGAAGTCGGTGTTGAAACTGGAGCACTTTACAGCTGTGATTGAATTTTTATTGGATTGTAAACTGTGGATGGTCAGTGCCGTACTGAGGCTTAGCAAACCTGTTGTCTTGGAAACATTTCTTCCCTTCTCCTTCTAGCCTGATCAGTTACTTCCTGTTGTCTCCGTGGGTGTTTATGAACCAGTTGTTTCCTTAGGG